CTGCACTTCTGACTTCAGTTTCCCCTGGAGTTAACTATCTCAAAAAATATTTTGCATATTTTGCATCTTCTTCATCTACGCCATCATTGGCACGTAGGTCAGGAGCCTTGTGTGAAAGCTGCAATCTCCTCTCTCTGCCGTCTGTCAGGGGTGGTGGGTCTCCTAAGCCCTCAGCCTCTCATCTCTCTCCCAAACCCAAATCAACCACAACAAATTACATTCCACAACTTTCCCCAGGTCATGCTGCTGCTCTTCAGGCAGAAGAGAAGAATCCCAGAGAAGGGATTGTTGAGACCATAAGATATCTCGGGGGGGGTGGGGAGGGGGTGTGTCTCTGGGGTGCCCACAGGCTCTCTATGGGATTTGAGAGGTCCCTTTTAGGGTCTTTATTGGGTCTCTGTGTTTTTACAGCACCCACTTTGGGTCTGTAGGTCTGCTGACCACTTGCCCGACATAGAAGGATATTATCATTAATGTGCAAACAAGCAACCAGAATCCTCCCTCCACTCTTAAATCATGCACCAAGGATCCAAGGTGTCCCACCACTGGAAGAATGAATAGACCAATGTACTCACCACACACAACATAGCAAAGAAGGGAGAGAGTCAATTCCAAAACTGGACCATTGGGGAAAGACGGACCCAGGAGATCAGTCCAATCCCAATCATATAGTAACTGCCAGGAGAGAGACTCATGATCTTCTTGTGCCATCCCAGAAACTCTGCTTCCTATGAAGAGTCAGGGAGCCCTTTCAACAACCAAAGCCCTCACACAACACACACTATGCAAACAAACCTCTCTACTCAACCTTATAGAGGTGGCTTCTTGCCCTGCCTCCAAGCTAATGTGGAAGGTGGGGACACCTGGTGGTGATCTCCTAATCAGTTCCCACCCAAGGTCGGCCAGACCCTGGGTGAAAACCACCCAGGAGGGTCTTTCTTGCCTGGTTGTGGACATCATCCATATGCCGACCCTCATTGAGGGCTGGGAGTTTAACTCCAGCACTTCAGTAGGTCACCACGTGATTCCTACAGAATCCCTATAAGGTCCTTATGGGGTCCCTACGGGATCCCTATAGGATCCATGCCTCCCCGTGGAGTCCCTGTGGTACCCATAGCTTCCTGCAGGGTTTCTATAGGACTCTCCTGAGGTCTGTGCGTTCCTGCAGGGTTTCTCTGTAGCACATCTGTACCACATCTATAGGGGAGGCCTAGCAGCAGACCACACCAAGGGTTGAGTGTGTTCTGCAGAGGCCATATAGGGTTGCACTGGGTGGATGTGGCACAGGTACACCACTGGGAAGGCCTGGCATGAGATCATGCTGGCCATGCTGCTGGGCAAGCGCTGCAACCCCAAGGTGCCGAACACAGTACTCCAGTTGGAGTGTCATCAGAGTGGAGTAGACAAACTATCCAGCCATTCCTACAGAGACCCATGTTCAAGTTTTAATGTGTTGCTACTTATTCTGCTTAAAAACAAATATCTCCAGACACAAGAGATCAACAGACACATGAATGAAAGCCACTTTAATCTACTTCCTCAGTCAGTGCAGCTGTAAGAAGTATGGTATAAACTGGAGCGTGCTTAACTCACATTACAGGAAGCCTTGGAAAGGTCCTTTCCAAAATATTGCTGTGTATGACAACATTCCTTAGAAATTACTTTACAGGAGAAGGATGATAAAAAATAATACTAATCACTATAGCTGGTTTGAGGAACAACTGATAGTTGAGCTCAGTGGAAGCTGTTTGCTGATATGCCTACAAGATGCATCAGGTACAGCACTTAAAAGGCAAACCCAAGCAAAACACACCTGCCTATTAAGTTAAAATATACTATAATAGTATACACTATAGTATTTACTATATATAATATAGTATGACATAGTGTATACTATATATGATAGCATATACAATAAATCTCACAAGTTATACACATCTGTCTTCTGTTTGGAAAGTGAATTAATGATTAAAGACAGGGGCCAGGACCTGGAGGGATCCAGATCCATGAATAGAGCAAGTGGAAACCATAAGTAATTCAGAATTTTGAAGAGCATGTGATTATCATCACACACCCACATATGCACACACTGACTTACAATAACTTTTTAATTTATTTAAGTTGGAAATCAAATAGACTGTTTTAAAAGAAAAAATATCTCTTACTGAAAGCTGTTAACTTTTCCGTCTTGAAAATATTCTCCTTCCTCAGACTTCTCAGCCATTCTCTCCTTCCCACCATCTTTCTCTCTTGGTGACTAATGTGTTTCAGGAATGAACTCCAGAGAAGTCTGAAAGAAAAAAAAAAACTCTTCCAGATTGGCTAATTTTTGATTAACTCCTACAAATAAATATCTCAGGCAGTTTAGAACACTGGCCACAAAATAAACAATCTTTCACATCCATGATACCCTTTCAGCTGTGGTTCCAGATAGTAATCATCAAAAGCTGTCAGTGAACTTCAGTCAGCATCACTTTCTTGATGATCCATACATAGGCCTGGTTTCTGCAGCTTGAGTTCACCCTTCCCAAAAGGAGACGTTCTTAAGAAACACACCACTGTCTTCCACTCTTACATCACTTGGGTATTGTCGTTGGTTTGTGTGTTTTCCCTAAGCACACATTATTTTCCTTCTTGATTCAGATCTTTTCTTAAACTGACCTGAGTCACCCACCCTCTGTTTTCCTAGCCAGTGGTGTAATTCCAGCATCTCTTCTTACTGTATCACCGACAGCATCCACGTAATGG